CACTACTCCGCCTCTCCACTTTACCCAATCAGAGAACATTTCTCATTCAATACGAATCTGCAAAGTGTTCTCTGAATGATGCCCATGCTGAGCGGCAAGCTTCTGTGTTTACAATGAAGCACAGCAGCCACTCAACTCAGAATCTAGTAAAGACTCAATCTCGGAATTCTGTAACTTGGCATTCATCATTAAAGTCATATTAAACCCAAAACCAAAAATGTAATACAGTGCAGCTTGCCAATCATTATATGTGATGGCTGCATTAGTTTTTTTTTTGTAGTCTTTTTTTCCCCTCTGTTTTCATCTGGTGGTCTGGCCAGCAACACAGCTACTGTATTAGAGCGCCCCCACTCTGGATGAAGGAGCACAGGGGGCACCTTTTACAGCAGCATTGTCAGTCTGTGGGGAGGGGAGTGTTATATGCATTAGCAGATATAAATACACTAACGAATTGAAGCCAAACTTCAGCTAATACAGCAAACAGTTCTTGTCCTTTAAATCACATCGATCCAACTTTGAAATTGTGAAGTTGCACGATTCTAAAGTCGGATATCAGTTGGACTTGAGGTGCGACTTGCAAGACATCTGCGGCTTGCAAGGCACAGATGCTTTGGCAAGTCGCACCTGAAGTAATGTATGCGCTACTTTAGAAATCGGTGCGGCTCTGACCAAGTCGGAATCGCACTGATATGACCGCTTTAATTGCGGACAATAGGGTGCGACTTCCTATGCGATTTGAAACTCGCACGGCATGGCTAATCACATGGCAAGTCGCAACCAGTATGACCGGGCAGTTAGGATAAGAGTTTTACATAAATAAATAAAATCTGATCATTGTAAGCACCCCTGCTAGTTTTATTGGTTTGTCCCATCTCTGTAACTGATACATTCTGCTGGAGAGCTTGTTCTTTTGAAAAACAACAGACTTACTGGCAGGGTCATCAGATGAAAATAAAAAAAGAAACCCTAAAAAAGAAAACGAATGCAGCTATCACATCTAAGCATTGGTAAGCTGCAATTTAATAACTGTTTACTTTTGGGTTTATTACCATTTTAGGCCTAGTTCACACCTATGTATTTTTAGAGCATTTTGCAGAAACGCACGACAGTCTATTTAACATGGTTTCCTATAGATCTAGTTCACATCTGTGCGTTTTGAACCGGTGACATTTTTGGAAAGGGTCAAGGACGTTTTTTCCTGCAGCAGATTGTGTTTTTGCATGTAATATACTTCAATGGACCTGCACCAAAAACGCAAGTGCTGGTCTTTTGATGTGCTTTTTTTAGGGTTTTTTTTGGAAAGTATGCCAGTTCTGTTTCATGTGACTTTGACACTGTCTGGCACTCAAGTACCATCAGAATAAAAGGCGCATCAAAGTCACACTACATGAACAAAACTGTCACACTTTTCTATTAGCCAAATAAAAAAAAAATGCAGCTTTGGACACATAAAGGTTTCTGCACCACTTTGATGCGAGTTTGATGCTACTTGAGTGCCAGAGAGTGTAAAGTCATATCAAAGTCATACTACATGAACAGAACTGTCATACTTTTCTATTACCAAAAAAAATAAATAATTGCAAAACGCATTAAAAACGTATGTTCAAAAACGCAAGACACACTGGAAAAAACGCATCAACCGCAACCTGCATAGATGTGAACCTAGCTTTAAGTTGGGCTGTTAGATTGATGACAGGTTCACTTTAAACATTCTTACAGAACACAATCTGTTTTCAATCTCCCTTTTTCTTGTTGCTATGTAAATGACCATTGGACAAAAAAATTAAAAATCAATAAATTTAAAAGAAATAAAAAAGAGACAGAATTTTTCTTCCATTTATTTGTTGACTACTGAAGCCTGTGGGACCAAGACTGCAAATTCTGCTGTAATTCTAACATTCGTGTGGATAAAAAGGTAGACATGCAGTGAAAGTCAATCTCTTTACCACTTAAAGCAAGAAGGGAATGCAAATGGTTCCGAAATGAGGAAAAAGGAACCTGTGTAAACACCGACAACATTCAAAGGCACGTCCTACCTTTTCTACACAATGGTCAGATTGGCAGCCTGCTACGAACTGATTTAAACTCATTAGAAAAGGAATTTTACAGGAAACAGTTGACCAAGGATAAAGATTTTTATTATATTACTGCCATTTTTGGTTGATGTGCACCCAATCAGAAAAATGTCATATAAGCTGTAACATGAAAATGTAATTTTAAAAGTATTTTTTAATCTTTTTTTTTAATTTGCAGCTTTCATTAAAATAATTCCTAGTGATCCTGCCATTAAGGTCCTTGTTCCTGTTAGAGGTGACAACTGTCTCTCAATTGCTTTGGTTTCAATGTGTATCCCTAGTGGAGATTACAAGCAGTCATGCCAGCACACCTTGAGCAGGCATGGTCCACCCTTGTCACCATCATGAAGCTTGTCCAAATCAATGATGTGCATAGTTGCCAATATCTTTGTCCAGTCCTATGAACACTGTCATCCCAGTCCACGGCCCACACTTATCACACCCTCCCATCCAGAACATACTCCCTAACAGGGGCGGACTGACCATTTGGAAACTCAGGCACTGACCTAGGGCCCGGAGTCAGTAAGGGGCCCCATGAGATGCCCCTGGTACCTTTTTCATAGGCTTTTTTGAGTTTGGGCAAGGACACAGGGGCCCCATGATCCCCTATTGCCCAGGGGCCCCATGAGTTGTCAGTCCGCCCCTGCTCCTTTACTATGTGAGAACTGCCCACTTAGCCCAATCCCCTCAAAAATATCCTATTTTGAGTTCCTCCTTAAAGTGGTTGTAAACTTCAGACATGAAATATGAACAAAGCATATCCCTTTATAGTGTGTACTTGTCTGAATCCAGAGCACTGAATGTCATTTCTGCCTGCTGCTTCATTTCTCTGCTATCAACATGAGTCACTTCTGACAAGTTTTCCTGACACCAAGAGAAAAAAGGTGACAGGAGAGCAGGAGTGGACTGACAACTCATGGGGCCCCCGGGCAATAGGGGATCATGGGGCCCCTGTGTACTTGCGCAAACCTATGAAAAAGGTAACAGGGGCATCTCATGGAGCCCCCTACTGACCCCGGGCCCTCGGGCAGTGCCCGAGTTTCCAAATGGTCAGTCCCCCCTGCAGGAGAGGGACCTCCAGTAGACTGACAGTCTCAGCTCTGTTCTTTGGAACTTCATGGAGGGAGGGTGTGTCTCTTCCCTCCAATCAGCTCTCAGAGCTCTCTACATTGTGCTCTGCAGAGTGTAATTTCAGCGCTCTGCCACTTTTTTCTAAACTCTCAGACAAATTCAGCACTTTGACGAATGTAGAGAAGAGAAGACTGCAGATAAACAGGTACCACTTATGTAGGAGGATTTATTTAATCTCATATAAGTAAGGGTTTAAAACCACTTTAATTAAAATAATGTGATGCTCTGATCTTGAGGACACTGCTGGGGAAACAGCATCATTGAGATAGAATAACATAGAGGTGGACTGTCCCAAAAACTCCGGGACAGTTGACATCTACAGTATGGATGTGCAACAGATGATGAGTGGAGTGCATGTAGACAAAATGGCTGGAGATCAGCAACATTAAGATAAGAGAAGGATAAAAAATAATGAAAAAAGTATTTTGTGGGAAATTGCATTTGTACATTATACACAGTGCACATAACAAACTAAAGCCGGCCATAGATGGTTTGATTCTAGTTTGCTTCAGCAGATACCGGCCGAGATTTGAACCATCTATGGGCAGGCTAGTTGTACTCGATTGCTTTGATTGTTGTATGACTAGGGTACCACCAGTCTGTCGTATTTTTCATGCGAATATAGCCAGAGATTAGAGCCGCTAGTAATAATCACTATGTTCTCCCGGAGGCAACAGCTCCCATCACAGCAACCCCCCCTGATGGGAAAACTCAAAGAAAGAGTCAAGCAATTTTCTTTCCTGCAACCACAGGTAACTTGCACCCTCTATGGCTGGCTTAAATATTACCCAGTGAAGGTTTACAATGACTATAATCCTTGTTAAAGGTCACTTTAGCAGGTGTATGTCAAGAACTGTTTGTACAAAACACCAGTTCTACGGTAATTATGTAAGGGTCCCTATAAGAAGTTGGAAGCCACTTTACTTGAAATTGGCCTCAGGACAGGTCAACCGGGGGAGAAGAATGGCAGAAGCTTAACTCTGGGATAGTACTCTGGGATAGGCAATAATGCACCCATTAGTACACCCCCCTACACAAAACACTAAACAGTTAATACAATTTTGGAAATCCTTACCATTTAGGAGAAAAGTCTAATTACATTTTCATAACCTAATTTCTGTAATTGAAAAGATAACAGCATCTGCTCTGCCAAGGAGGAGCTGTAACAGCAGGGATTGCATCATATCCTCTCCTCTCTCTCTGCAGTAAAAGGAAACTACAGTTCCCATCAACCACTGGGAATTGTAGTGAATGTGGGTGGGTACACAAGGCCTGTACATGTTGAATGTGTCTGAGATGCCGTGTCTGCCCACCACTAGAAGTGGGCCTGAATTACATCACTGCTTCCTGGGGAAAGAACTACAGAAAGGATGTGCCAAGACCAGTGGCTGGGGAAAGAGTAGACAAAGCAGCCACTGGTCTTACAAACAGGAAACCAAAGAGAATTAATGGTCTTATTTGAAAATTAATAGACTATTTCATAGCAACTACTGAGTGAACCAGAAGATAGATGACATATTCAGTGAAGGTAGAAAATCAGCAACAAGGACATGTAAAGAAGTTTTTGCCTGGAGTTCTGCTTTAAATCAATTCATAGCAGAGCCAGTAGGGGGCAGTCATCAAGATGAATAGTCATACCTGTCATTTTTCTCTGGGAGGAATACAGATCACCTCCCCATGTGAGTAGTGGAGAAAAGTGTCTCTCCTTCATGATCGAACACAGCAGGCTGCTCTGCTCCCCAGAAACAAGATTTATCCTCCCATCTGGGATTGTGTTGGGAGCAGTTTGTTCAGGTCTGAGTGTTATAGGCAGGGGCGGACTGACAACTCATGGGGCCCCCGGGCAATAGGGGATCATGGGGCCCCTGTGTCCTTGCCCAAACTCAAAAAAGCCCATAAAAAAAGGTACCAGGGGCATCTCATGGGGCCTCCTACTGACCCTGGGCCCTCGGGCAGTGCCCGAGTTTCCAAATGGTCAGTCTGCCGCTGGTTATAGGTCTACCTTTTGAAGAATGAAGATGAGGCCATGGCTGGCATTGAGAAGCCACGGGAAGATTGTCCTAAGGCATCTTGGATTGAGATATCCTTTAGGAACTTGGCAATATGGCTGAACTGACTACTATATTGGCCTCTCTACTTTGCAAAGTTCTAAAGTGACTTATTTACCCAAATTGTTTACCATTTCTTGAGGATCCAGACACATCACCTAGAGCAGAGTCTACAGTGACTAAGTTACTGAATTACTAACAATGGTGGTTCAGGACAGGCTGAGTTGGGTGACTCTAGCGAGGAGCTCTGAATACAGAGTACTTTGTAAAATGCTAGAACTCAAAGATTAGCCTACTAGTGTGTTATCCTGACCAGTGTATTACTTTTAGTAGGTAGTTTGTTCACAGGTGCAGCTAGCTAGTCTGCCACTAGGTGGCTGTGTTGCAGAATAGTGTCTGGGTACAGTAGACAGCATCATCAGATGCTAGGCCCCTTTTAGTTATAGCCCCCTGCACTGATGTCATGGGTGAGTCCAGTCCCAGATATTAGTCAAGCTGGAAGGAGCCCTAATGCAGCTGGGGCATGGGAGCCAAACACCCCACCCCGGCACAGATGTAACCAGCATTTGGAGGCCCTGGACAGGGTTGGATGCTGAAAGAAAATAGACCTGCACCCAGGAGAGCTGGCTGTAGACTTCCTAAGCCTTCTGGAAGTGGGGGTTAGGGCCGGTTGCCAAATGCCTTTTAGGCCAGGCCAAGAGTTCTCTGAGTGAGGCTATTCCTGTGCACCTGTAGAGGAGGTGACAACAGAGATCCTATTCCAGTGACTACTAATGACCCCAGGTGGAGGGACAGATTGTTAAGGGAAAATGGCTGTTTAAAGTACTGTATATGCTTTCACATGTGACTGCTGAAGACTGTTGACCCTGGAATGTATGTCAATGTGCTGTGACTGTTTGTACCATTTTCCAAGTACCAACAATAAAGTGCAGCAACTCTATTTTATGTGTGGCCATTCCATCCTTGGGGAGGTAAAGATCAACAGCTAGGAGTGTCTTGTGGAGGCTTGTGGCATGGGGTAGCCACTTTTGCACCATGGGATTTCCCTGCGGTTCCTGCACCCACAAACGTGCTGCAAGCTGAGATGTGTGAGGGTGCAATTAAAAAGGAATGGCAGCCTTGGAGCACGTTTTGGCTGTGGGCAGTAGAGGATGCAGGAACAGCTACGATTCCTGCACCCGCAACCATCCCCCACAGTATGAACCTAGTCTAAGTTGCTGCAGATCTCATAGAGTCTGATGCTATGGTCACATCTCCACCCCCTTATTCTCACAGCCCATTCACTAAACACACAACCCCTCACTCAGCTACCCCCTCATCACCCCTCTCCCCACGGCCCCACCACAGCTCTGACCCCCACTTCCACCCCACCCTGCATTCCTCATACTGAAGCCCCCCCAACACTCCGCACCTTTGATCTTACTACCATCGAGGAAGTCTCCAAGATCCTCTCTGATGCCCGCCTCACCACCTGCCGCCTCGACCCTATCCCCTCAAAACTCCTACGACCTCCCTCCCCCTCCATCCTATGCTCCCTCACCCACATCTTTAATCTCTCCCTCTCCTCCGGCACTTTCCCCTCCCCTCTGAAACATGCACACATCACCCCCATACTTAAAAAACCCTCCCGGGACCCCAATGACCCGAACAACCCTCAGACCCATCTCCCTGCTCCCATTTACATCTAAACTCCTTGAGCGCCTAGTCTACACCCGCCTAAGCTGTCACCTCAACAACAACAACCTCCTCGATCCCCTACAGTCCGGCTTCCGTCCCCTACACTCCACCGAAACTGCCTTACTCAAACTCTCCAACGACCTGCTAACCGCCAAAGCTAATGGCCATTATTCAGTGCTCCTACTCCTTGACCTCTCTGCGGCCTTCGACACAGTCGGCCACCCCCTCCTCCTCAAAAAACTACACTCCCTCGGCCTCAGAGATTCTGCTCTCTTCTGGCTCTCATCCTACCTGTTACAACGCTCTTTCAGCGTTACCTATAATGCTACCACCTCCCCCTCACTCCCCCTCTCTGTTGGGGTCCCTCAAGGCTCTGTCCTCGGGCCCCATCTCTTCTCCATCTACACCTCCTCCCTTGGCCAACTCATACACTCTTACGGATTCAACTACCACCTCTATGCCGACGACACACAAATCTATCTCTCAACCCCCCACCTCACCCCCTCGGTCTCCGCCCGAATCGCACACCTACTGAGCGACATATCAGACTGGATGTCGCTCCACTTCCTTAAACTGAACCTCTCCAAAACAGAGTTTCTTGTCTTCCCCCCAGCCCGGACACCACCCCCCATTGACTTCTCCGTCACATCCAACAATGCCACCATCAAACCCGCCCCGCAGGCCAGAGTACTTGGTGTCATTCTGGACTCCAACCTATCTTTCCAGCCCCAAGTCCAATCTTTAACAAACTCGTGCAGACTCCACCTCCGCAACATCGCCAAAATCCGCATGTTCCTAACCCCAGAAACCACTAAACAGCTCATCCACTCCCTCATCAAATCACGACTCGACTACTGCAACTCCCTCCTCACTGGCCTGCCTTGCCGCTGGCTATCCCCGCTTCAGTCGATCCTGAATACGGCTGCCAGACTCATTCACCTTTCCAACCGCTCTGTCTCTGCCACCCCCTCTGCCAATCCCTCTACTGGCTTCCAATTGCGCAACGGATCAAATTCAAAATCCTAACACTGACGTACAAAGCTGTCCACCATACTGCCCCCGAACTACATCACCGACCTAATATCCAAGTACCGCCCAGCACACACACTCCGCTCCTCACAAGACCTCCTTCTCTCTAGTTCCCTGGTCTCCTCCTCCCATGCCCGCCTCCAGGTCTTCTCCAGTATGTCACCCATCCTCTGGAACTCCCTGCCCCAACCCATCAGATTATCACCTACTCTCCTCTCCTTAAGGCGCACCCTGAAAACCCATCTCTTCAGGGAAGCCTACCCCACCCCCTGCTAACTTGCCGACCTCCTCCACTCTTCCTACCACTCCATCCCCCACAGCTATCTCCTCCTGTACCACCATCCCCTCCCTCCTAGTAGGTGCTCTGTGTAGTTAGTCCCACCCTTCTTCATGCTTTAGCCTCCATTCATTACTGTATTGTGTTTTGCTGGAGCTAGACACACTATGATTTTTTTTTTACCTATCTGATGTGCTGTGTGTACAAGTTGTAGATTAAAGCTTCCTATTAAGGAATGCAGTGCCTGGTAGTGCCACCCACATGTGCCCAGCAGTGCGATTCACCAATACAGAGCAGTGCCCCCCATCAGTACTGCCCAGCAGTGCCGTCCAGCAGTGCCGCCAGTCAGTGCCGTCAGTCAGTGCCACCCATCAGTGCTGCCTATCAGTGCCCATCAGTGCCACTTATCAGTGCCCATCATTGCTGCATATCAGTGCAGCATCATCAGTGCCAGCTCATCAGTGTTGCCTATCTGTGCTGCCTATCAGTGCCCATCAGCACTGCCTATCTGTGCCACCTCATCAGTGCCTATCAGTGCTGCCTACCAGTGCCCATCAGTGCTGCTTATCAGTGCAGCCTCATCAACGCACATCAGTGAAGGAGAAAAAAATTACCTCTTTGCAACATTTTATAATAGAAACAAAGAAAAACTTTTTTTTTTTTTTTTTGCTTTTTTTGTTTATAGCGCAAAAAATAAAACACCCAGAAGCGAGTAAATACCACCAACAGAAACCTCTATTTGTGTGAAAAAAAGATAAAAATTTCATATGGGAACAGTGTAGCATGACTGCTCAATTGTCATTCAAAGTGCGACAGCGCTGAAAGCTGATAATTGGGCTGGCAGGAATTGGGTATAAGTGCCCAGTAGGGGAGTGGTTAAAGATCTTCTCCTATACTTAGATAAGTGCGATTCGGCTGGTTTTGGCCATAAAATTCCACTGTAAGCACAGGATTGCTATTATAGGGTAGCAGACAAATGTATTTACAATTTACCGGCAAGCCGAGGTTCTTAATGCATCTCTTGAGGCTTTTTCCAGCTAACTAGTTTATGTTTTCCATGGACGGGACTGTGAGCCATTCATGTTGGGAGATGTATTTCTGCAGTGAGGACACAAGCTAATCGAGAACTCAATGAGCGATTAACACTTTTAAGAAAACAAGGAAATCGTTGGCTGGTGGATCTTATCTCCATCTACTGAATAAAACTGCATCCTGCATTTGTGACAGATGTTGAATTGTGCCTCTTTCAGCCCGGGTCCACACTTGTGCAGTGCGCATATTGCATGTGATCTGCACAGGGACTTCACCGCATTCCTGTGCAAATCACATGCGAATTCTGTGCGGTACATTTTGTATGGCTCAAATCACACCGCATCCGCACCAAACAGGTGCAAGGCCCTTTTTTTTTGTCTGCACTAAAATCGGATCGCATGGGTATTCACACTCATGCGATCTGATTCTGCACATCGCACCACGTTTTGCGAACCGATTTCGGGTGTTGTTAACTTAACCGCTTGCCCTCCAGAGGATTTATCCCCCTTCCTGACCAGGCCACGTTTTACGTTACTGCACTGAGTTACTTTAACTGACAATTGTGCAGTCATGCAACACTGCACCCAGATGAAATTGATGTCCTTTTTTTCCCACTTTCTTTCAGTGGTATTTGATGGCCTGTACATTTTTTATTTTTTGCGCTATAAAGAAAAAAGACTGATAATTATGAGAAAAAAACTATATCTTGACTTTTTGCTATGAAACATGTTCAGTAAAACAATTTTAAAAAATCAAATTTCGTCATAAATTTAGGCCAAAATGTATTCTGCTACATGTCTTTGCTAAAAAAAAAATCCCAATACGTGTAAATTATTTGGTTTGCATGAAAAGTTATAGCGTTTACAAGTGGCGGTATAGATACTGGAATTATTTTTTAAAAATTTTTATTTTTTTTATTAGTGATGGCAGCAATC